TAGGGAAAAAACACTTTGCCTTTTAATGTTACGTTAAGGGGTGTATTTGGTCAGCAGCAATGTTTAGTTACATGTTACCTGTCAAAGTAACATCCACTTGAATGGCAGGACCCAATGTTTCCCTACAGAACATTGCCCAAAGCATCACACTTCCTCAGCCAGCTTACCTTCTTCCAGTAGTGCATTCTGGTGCCATCTCTTCCCCAGTTAAGAGACACACATGACACTAGCCATCTACACGCTGTAAAGAAAATGTGATTCATCAGACCAAGCCACCTTGTTTCATTGCTCCGTGATCCAGTTCTGATGCTCACATGGCCATTGTAGGCGCTTTTGGCGATGGACATGCGTCAGTATGGGCTCCCTGATCGGTCTGCAGCTACGCAGCCCCATACACAACAAACTGTTTAGTCACCTTTCTATCAGAACCAGCATTACCTTTTTCAGCAATTTGAGCACTGTAGCTCTTTTTTATTTGATTGGACTACATGGGTCAGCCTTTGCTCCCCACGTGCATGAATGAGCTTTGGTTACCCATGACCAAGTCGCTGGTTCACCGGTTTTCTTTCCTTGGGCCACTTTTGGTAGGACCACTGCATACCAGGAACATCTCAAAAAAGTTGCAGCTTTTGGATTTGCTCTCACCCAGTCATCTAGCCATCACAATTTGGACCTTGTCAAAGACACTCAAATCCTTATGCATGCCCATTTTTTCTGCTTCCAACACACCAACTTCAGGAACAAAATGTTCACTTGCTGCCCAATAAATCCCACCCACTTCCAGGTGCAATTGTAACGAGATAATCAAGTGTAAGCCGGGGTGCTGCGCTTGGTTGTGTGTGATCCACCTTTTAATTGAGATAATCAAGGTTATTCACTTCAACTCTCAGTGGTCATAATGTTATGGCTGATTGGTGTACATACTCTGCACAAAATCATCTTATCATTCTTAGTTTGTTGGTACCACAATGAGACCTGAACCTGGCACAAAAATAATAGAAACGCATAACAGATGGAAATCGTAACTGTAATTTCAACTAACCATAGATGTATATCAAAAGAATTTCTTAGTTGACAGCAGGCTGTGCCTTGAGGGACTGAAAGCTCAAAACAGCCATGACTCACTGTAGCGTATACAGTTTTTTCATATGAGAGACTATGTGATACAAATTTAGCTGCATCACAAAAGAAGATATTTAGGAAATAATAATTGTGTGCTTACTGCTCTGTTCTCTCTATTTAACATGTACTCTCTACTAGACAGCCATGGAAAACACTGCCACCATTACCATCGTGATTCTAAAACAAGCTGTAGTGCCAAATCTGCATCCCAGAGATGCACCTATGACTTCCCTCAGGATTACCTTAGCACTTCTTCCTTGGTCAGCCAGCTACTCTGCTATTCATCCTAATGAATCTCTATACTGTGCACAGACATTTTTATTCTGCTCATCATCTCTGGTCCCCCAGCTGTTAGACCAGGATTTAGCAGTTTGAGTTTATTTCACAATGCAATTAAAATTGAAAATTTGTTCTGTGGCTGGTGTTACTCAATTCTGCCAGTAGATAGCCTGATGCTAATTCACCAAGCTAACGTTAACACTATTGGTGCTGCAATTACTAAAAATATAAGGCACTGCATTTTATGTGATACGTGTTAAAGTGGCACTAAACTCAGAAGTTAATTCTAAAAAATGCATTCAGATACAAAAATGTATCTTATTTGTGTATCACTCAGCTGTAGATCCTCAAATCATCTCTGAATTGGTGCTGACAGTGTCCTTCCTTCTGGAGGGTGGCTACTTTTGTTCCCCATTGTCCCTGTGTGTGTTGTAAAGAAGCCACCGCTCCAAGCTCACTCCTCTGATGGACTACAATCTCACGTTTAGTTTACTAATTTGTATTGAGATTGTAGTCCATCATGGGAGTGAGCTTGGAGCAATGGCTACTTTGCAACACACACAGGGACCATGGGGAACACAAGTAGCCACCCTCCAGAAGTAGGCACAATATCAGCATGAATTCAGAGATGATTTGAGGATCTACAGCCGAGTGATACACAAATGAGCTACATTTTTGTTAATAGTTCAGGTACTTGAATACATATATAAGGTCTAATTCCCGATTTTAGCGTCACTTTAAAGGAGAACTATGGGGATATGCACTCATCCCCATAGTTAGAGCCGGGGTGTTACACTGCAGTTTTCACACGTTGGCTCTATAGATCGACAACTGAGCAATCACAATCTTCTTCCTGCAGAAAGTAGTGACTGCCGGTCACAACTCCTCGCAAGGATTCCCCCCTCCCCTCTCCGTTCCTCCAGCGCTGACTGGAGGGACAGACAGGGGAGGGGCGGGCACGGCTCCAGAGGCAGAACTAGCTGTTATTCAAGTAGTGGGGTGAATCCCAAAAACATTGTCAGGATCTTTCCCAGCTGCAGTCCACTATATGCTGAGTTTTGAGTCACAGGAGGACATTTGTAAATGTCCTCCTTTGATCCCAAAAGCGAACTAAGGCCAAAAAATGTTTGACCCTAGTTCTCTCTTAACCTCACAATCTTCTGCCCTCCAAGTAAGCCTCATTCTTTTCTTCAATAAAAAAAAAGACAGTTGTTGTTTGCAGATTGGTTTAATGGCATTTCTTTATTCTCTCACTCTCATCTTGCTCTGGATACATGTCACTTAAAGGCTTCTTCATATGGGTGCTATATAGCATTCAGTATTTTAAATAGTTTGGTGTTGCTCCCTTGCTCCAAATGCTTTTCCAGTAGTGGCCATCATAAAAAAAAAAACAATAATAGATCAATCATCAGGCGTGACCTTTTTCTGCTATTAAGATCAATTAGCCTTCGAATCGTAGAAGAGCATATTGGTACACTCTCTCAGAGCTGGCAGTTGGGTGCACTTGGTATGAGTTCAGTTCATTCAACCTCCCTTTTAACCATGCATTTAAACATCTGATGGCTCAGGGCTTGGTCATAAAGAAGGCAGTATCTGTCACTTTTGTGTTTCAATAATTTGTATATAATGTAACAAGTATAATAGAGCACTACACAGATTAGAGTACAGAGAAATAATGCAGGCAGATAGTAACAATCAGTTACATATAGCACAACTAATAGGTACAGTCAAGGTTGTTCATGCCTATAATATATTTGTAATATGCAGATGCCAAATTATTTTTTTCTATGTAGTGCAATAAACCTGTATTCAGTGTACCCTACTGATATACAAAGAAAGGGCAGGTTGTATCAGTAAAGTGCATCTACCACGTTTCATGTGAGATGCCAGAGAAAGTAGAACGGACAATGCAGGGAAAACTGAGACATAATCTAGCACAGACACCAAGGAAAGAGGTGAAACAGAGGTGCTGTGGATGATCATGATAAAAGAAACCAGAGAACAATAAATGGGCTGAGGACCTGCCAGCATTGTGGGGCTAATCCTGGAAGGGGTTAGATCGAAGAAGGGGTCAGATCGAAGAAGGGGTCATATGTGTTTTCCTGCTACGTTCATTTCTGTTGGCCAAATCCTCCAGCAGTGAAAGGGAAAGTTCCAATTTCTCTTTATAACACACGGAAGAAAGAGTAAAACTCACTGAGAGCAGCTGGACAGAGCTTTAATTCATTATGTAGTTCGAGTTACTTGTCGCGTCTGATCACTCAGATCTGGGCTCACACTGGGCTGTGAACTCACAGAAAACTCTGGCAGGAAATTGTATTTGAATATACATAGGAAGGAAGGGATAAAATAAATGTTCTTTTCTTTATCATTTCCTTTTCACCAAGTCTCCTGTTAGAAAGGGACGTTTAAGGTACCATTTTTTTTCCCCATAAATAGATGCATACATACTGTACATCAAGATTAACTGAAAAGCAATCCATTCATTAAATAGAAAAATCTCTATAAAAAAAAAACATTTTAACCTATATTTTAATTTAAGTATGTTTGTTTACTTTATATGACATGCCCTTTACAATTACAGTGTCACCACTGTTGCCCAATATTTATATTCACGCACTTAAAACTGTTAAGCCACACAGTCTTCACATGTGACTGTCATTTCATAATATTAACTCTTGCATCATATACTCCTAAACAATGAGTTACTTATTAGATATATTCTAACGCCTTTCCTGGAACAAGGTCCAAAACATCTAAATATGCAAACACAATATTGTAATTGTATTGAGTCAACTAATATACTTGCTTCAATAGCATCTAATCTTAGTGTAATTACCTACAAAAGGATCTTTCAATTTTATAATTTTCTATACATGGGCACAAGACAGTGCTGACTCCCTGTGCATATCTCTAGGACTGGGGTAGCTCTGGAAAGAACAGTCCCTAGGATGGCCGTACCTCCCACACCTAGAACACAAAATTAGGGAGAAAACCCTTTGCTCATTCTTTTGTGGCCCTCATAACCCCCTCCTCCCCAACAAAACTTGCATTGGCACCCCATAAATACATGGATATAGTATTCCACCAGCCACCTAAATTTGATGGAAAGTGGGCCATGTGGTTGCCCACACTCTGATATGGCAAACGGAATTGAGAATAAGGAATGCGGAGCTGCCTCCCTTTATCCCCCTTAGTAGGAGGGACCTAATGTTAGATGTTGCATTTTTATACCGTGCAGTGGATTGGGGGTTTTGCCCATAGCAGAGTCTTTTTAAAGATAATGGAGTTATGTTCACATCAAAAACATTAAAATAATGATTGTGCAACAGTGGAATAAAAATTGTGAAAGAAGCTATTTTTCTACCTTCCACCAATCTACTGTTCACTTATCATGGAAGGGCTATTTAATGATTACATCGACCATAAATGTAAGTGCTTAGCCACTGTTCTGATAACAAAACTGTGTAAAGCTGAACTCCAGGGAAAACAAATGTAATCTGTAGCAGAAATCTTAATTGAAACAACCAACACATTATGTGTTCGTTATATGTGGCATTTCTGTTGTACTTATTTGTTTTAAATGTGTTTCTATGCAGGTTTCAAGGCAGACAGCCAACAGTAACCATCTTTCAAGTGAAAGTTCTGGCACTACAACAGGTGTAGGCGATTCTGTCCCTACTTCCCAGGAGGAGACTTCAAATGCTGCACAATTTGATTCAGACTTCATGACGGTTCAAGACAACTTCAAGATTCATATTACAATCATGAACTTACTTTTGTGGCTAACCATGCTAGTTTTACCATCCTTTATCTACTGGGCAAAAAATCTCAGGTACAAATGTATTTTAGTTACTTTCATATTGACCGGGGTATAGTTTAAAAGATGCCAGCTTATGAAATGCAAAAGGTCAAGTGTGCGTGTGTGTATGTATGTGTATAAAAAAATATATATACACACACCTGCAACATGCCTGCTTTACCTATGTGCGTTTTCTCAATTAATATGTGCATTCAAAAATAGTAAAACCAGCTATAATGCTTAAATAAAAGGGATGTTCATAAAAATGCTCTAATTATGTGTAATTATAATATAATTACGTGAAATTACCTAAATTGTCAGGCTGGAGAGTCCCAAATATCATTCTAAATGCAAATCGTGAAATCCTTTATAAAACTCTATCGGGTTTTTATGTGTGGTCGGTGTCCCAAGTGAGGAGATTTCCACTTGCTTCTGTTGGCACAGGAAGTGTTAGGAAATTGCTCCAATGGAGACTCTCAATGCGACAAATCATATTTTCAGTAAATGAGGAAAGGTTGAAACCTCTGTCAGGTAACATTTATTGTCTGTGTCTTCCATCCTGGTGATAAACACTCCTCTCGTTTATTTGTCCTGTTGCAGAAATAGAAAGTGAGGTCAAATCTCAATGGAGTCACAGGCCATTTAAAAAAAGGCAGCTACTGGATTCATATGTTGTAAGCCATCCAGATGTGGGTCATACCAGTATTCTGTTAAATTTCAATGTGCCCTCATCAAAAGATTTCAGATGGCCAAAAAACAATTAAGTGTGTGTGTGTTACATTCATATCAAATGTTTGTTTGTTTTTCTTTTGGATCAAAAAGTGAAGGATGAGAAAAACATTTTTTTGAACTCGAAGAGATGTTCTTATTAGAAGATTTATTTTCCGCTCTGTTCTGGTGACAACTGTAGAATTTCGTGATTTCCCATCACATTCTCTCTGTGTCATTTGTCACCAGAACAAAAGGGGGGAGATTACCCGGAGATGTCTGCAGGTACTTAAGTGTCCCCCAGGGTTCTCTGTCACTTGTCTGGAGGTTGCATGGCATGCCCTTCCATTGTGCATTATAACCCATCCAATGGCTTGTTGCAGTCCATTCCAGTCTCCAGCCGTAACAAATTTTATTTCCTTGTTTAATGAGCTTATTGAAAAAATATAACATTATTCTTAAAAACCAGAAGCAGTGTTACATGTGAGCAATTGTTACAGCACAACTGTCCAGCGCCATTATGAATAATGACGCATAAGAAGCTGCATTCATATACTGTATGTTTCATTGGTATTAACCACTTGCTGACCGGGGGTGTTAAACCTCTTTCCTGTCCAGGCCATTTTTCAGTATTCAGCACTGTTGTACTTTGACATTCAGTCATACAACGCTGTACTGAAATTAATTTTATACCATTTTTGGGGACAGATAGAGCTTTATTTTGGTGGTATTTAATCACCACTGCGGTTTTATTCTTTACTATATAATGAAAAAATTCAGAAAATTTTGGGGGAAAAAAACAGTTTTCCCTACTTTATGTTATAAAACATTTATTATTGTACAATTATTGTTATAGAAAATATTTAGAATTATTTGTGCCTAAGCACTACCCTGAAAAAATACCCTTTTGTCTGGTCTGGAATTCCTCCTAAAAAAAAAGGCACTTCCTGATATGTGAGGGTACCTAGGCACTGCTGTGCCAAAACCCTAATAGCTGTATATCTGCAGTGTGAAATCTAAGGCACTGCTGCCTCTGACTTCTAGTCTTAGGAGATTTGGTGATTTCACTACTGTGCTGCTCGAGGTCCGTGCTGGGGGCTCTCACATGAGAAAGTAAAGCACTGCCTCTACTAACATGACCGTCCTTATACAAGGGCATGGCACAGAACAAGGTATGGTAAGTCCGTAATGGGGGAAAGATCTGCTGCAGGGAGACCACAGGCAATAATGGTGACTAGTCCTTTGCCCTCTGCCTGCCTTTTTATAGTTGCCAGGGTTCAGTTCATGGCTATTGGGAATCTCCCAAAAATCTGAGGCCCTCTATTCCTTATGGAAAGCAGTCATGACAGCCATATTCAAGAGGATACACAACAGGAGTGCCCATTCTTGGCTCCCCCGCAGTATTGTCATCATTGACCATGAAGAGCTGGGTTGGCAACTGATTAAGAAAATGTGGATCTTCATGGTTAGAAAGCACTCCAGCATGATCAAGACTTGTATTATAAATATTCTCTTTTAAATGTTCTCTTAAAGTGACACTAAACTCAGGAGTGAAATCTTAAAAATGCATTTGAGTACCTGAACTATTAACAAAAATGTATTTATGCATCGCTCAGTTGTAGATCCTCAAATCATCTCTGAATTCATGCTGACACTGTCCTTCCTTCTGGAGCGTGGCTACTTGTGTTCCCCATGGTCCCTGAGTGTGTTGTAAAGTAGCCACTGCTCCAAGCTCACTCCCGCGATGGACTACAATCTCAATACAAATGAGTAAACTAAATGCGAGATTGTAGTTCATCAGAGGAGCGAGCTTGGAGCACCCTGGTGTGCCTTCTAGTTTACTCAGCGGTGGCTTAAAGTTTTGTGGGAGTGAGACAGTGAAGTGAAGGGGCGAATGAAGACTGAGGTGAAGGGGTTTGCTGATGTAAAGGGGAACTCTGGTGTGAAAGGGGGAGACTCTAATATGAAAGAGGGACTTCTGATGTGTAAGGGAGCCTACAAATGTGAAGTGGAAAATCTTGATTTGTAGGGGGCGCTTTGATTTGAAGAGGAAACCCAATTTTTTGTGTGGGGTCCCCCTTGAAATCCATGACATTTTAGACTAGTGTGCCTCGAGATTTTGCATACTTTTCAAGGGTGCCGTGACTGAAGAAAGGTTGCGAAATGCTGCTGTAGACTCTCAACCTGACTGTTGTGTGAATAATTCATATATTGTGCAGTGAGATGTGGGTGTTGTGATGTTTTTAATATTTGGTAAGAGGTAAAAAATATCGCTTTATAGCTGGTATGATTTCAAAGTACGTGTTATTAATGTTAACTATTAGTAATGTTATTATTCCACAACAATGTCATTCATGTTTTTATTTGTAAATACATAGGTATAACATCCAGTTGGACCCTGATCCTATTCGATTACTGGCTATCCCGCTTGTCTGTGCAGTGATCATTCTGATGAACTCCAGTGTAGTGTCAATGAAATCCAGGTGTGTATGGTTATATATTGCACGTTTTAAATGTAGGTCATCATTTATGTTAATTTTAAAAGAGAACTATGAAGTAACCTTTTTATCCCATAGTTCTCTTTTGGGTCACGGGAGGACATATACTAACGTCCTCCCGTGCCCCAAAGCCCGCTATATACTGAGAGCACCACAGCTGGGACGGATCCTGACAATACAGTCGAGATCCACCCTGCTGGCTGATTGACAGTGGGCTCTCCCTATCTAGAGGCAGAGCTAGCTGTGCCCACCCTGTCCATTCCTCCAGTCAGCGCTGGGGGATTGAGGAGGAGGGGGGGAGGGGAGGGGAATACCTGCAGGGACTAACGGTCACCGCTCTTTGCAGGGAGATGATCGAGAAGTGAGGGTGCAACAGTATGTGTTCACTCACTTCCCGATCTATTGAGCCGACGTGTGAGTTTCATTGTCACACGCCGGCTCTAACTATGAGGATGAGTGATTTCAGTGCAAAGTAGGTAACTAAAATTAAACTTCTCTAAAATTTAGGGAAGTTTACTTGGAAGCTCGGAAGTAGGCAAAACTACACCTCTTTAACCCTATGCTGTTATACAAGGCTGCGGTCCTAGCACGGCTATTTTCCATGCCCTGATGACTGAGTCAAAATTGGAATGTGCACAGCCCATTCTTTTTTAGAGATGGTGATTGCAAATACGCATGATAGTTACTATAAGAAATGGTGCACATAGTATGAGGTGCATGTGTGAAAGAGTAGAGGGGTCATAGAACTCATCCATACCTTGTGCAGTGATACAGCTTTCAGCTGCCCATAAGTTTTTCTTTTCTTTCTGTTTTTAACCCCTTCATGACTGAGCTTGTTTTTAGTTTCTGTTCGTAAATGACTGACACACTTTTGACATTTTTGCTGTGTGATTCTTCCACGTCAGTAATATACTTTCTTACAAAGTGCACCCACACATATTATATATTGTTTTTTAGAGGACAGATAGGGCTACATATTTATATCACATATGTGCGTCTAACGCCTCACTTAGGACAAATAAAATATAAAAAAAGAGGAAAAAACCGTTTAAAAAAAACACTTTTTTCCCAGTTTTGATTTGTAGTATTTTTTTTACAAAACCAGCACAGCTAAAAAAATGCAATAAATACATTCATTTATTTGTCCCTTATTTTATTTTATTTTTTACACATTTTTTTATTTTTTTTACACTTTTCACAATTTTTTTTTTTTTTTACACTTTTCACTTTTTTTTTTAACTTAAAAATGTTATTTTATTTATTTAATTATATCAAGCAGATTTTGTGAATTAATCTCACTGTTACTGCATGATAAATTAATACATTTTTGGTTATTATCAGGCTGCTTCAAACTTCAGAACAGCCGATAATAAGTTAGTGACACTGATCCTGCAGCAGTTCAGGATTCAGCTGTTACTAAATGTTTTCTGATTGTTGCAACAACGATCAGCAAACAAACATTCTTCTTCCAGGAATAGATACATTGTAGGAATAGACACATTTTGTATCTATTCATGAAAGAAAAAAAAAAAGCCAGTATAGCTTGAGAGAGATATCTCTCGATCTATACGAGCTGTCAGAATGCCGGCAAAAGCCGGCATCTGTGTCCGCTTTGCTTTGACTCTCAGACACCCGATATTAAGGTATCGGGTGTCTGAAAAAGGTTAACCCTTTCATTAATGAATGCCTCTGTAGTAAGGGCATCCATTAATGAATGTTAAAAGCTGATTCTCAGCGATTAACAGCCCTCTAAAGCAGCAAATAACTCGTCACGTAGGGGTTAATAGTGATCTAACCGCTGGAACCCCGTGAAAATGTTTTATTTATTATTGACAAAAATTATTACTATAATTCATTGCATTACTTTCAAATTTGTTGAACTCGTTGAATTTACCGTGGCTTGCAAAAGTATTGACCCCCTTGGCATTTTTCCTATTTTGTTGCAATGGAACTAAAATGGATTTTATTTGGATTACATGTAATGGACGTACACAAAATAGTCCAAAATGGTGAAGTGAAATCAAGAAAATAGCTGGTTTAAAAAAAAACAAAAACGGAAAAGTGATTACCTTCAGAAGTCCCATTCTTAGATTGCACACGGGCAGTCTTTATTTAACTAAGTGTCACATGATCTGAAAGGCTGCAGAATCTGCAACACGACTGAGCAAACGACACCATGAAGACCAAGGAGCTATCCAAACAGGTTAGGGACGAAGTTGTGGAGAAGTACAGATCAGGGTTGGGATTTCAAAAAATATATAAACCACTTTGAACATCCCACAGAGCACTATTAAATCCATAATGGAAAAATGGAAAGAATATGGCACTACAACAAACCTGCCAAGAGAGGGCTGCCCACCAAAACTCAGACCAGACAAGGAGGGCGTTAATCAGAGAGGCAACAGAGAGACCAAAGATAACCACGAGGGAGCTGCAAAGCTCCACAGCAGAGATTGGAGTATCTGTCGCCGTACACTCCACAGAGCTGGCCAGAAAAAAGCCATAGCGTACAGAAAAAAGGAAGCAAACATGACAAAAGGCACGTGGGGGACTCCCCAAACATATGGAAGACGGTACTCTGCTCAGATGTGACTTAAATTAAGCTTTTTGGCCTTCAAGTAAAACTATATGTCTAGCGCAAACCTGAGACCTCTCGTCATCCTGAGAACACCATTCCTCCTCAAAACTGAAGGAATGATGGATGGTGTTAAATACAGGCAAATTCTTGAGGGAAAGCTTTTTCAGTCTCACAGAGATTTGAGACTAGGATGGAGGTTCACCTTCCAGCAGGACAATGACCCTGAGCATACTGCTAAAGCAACGCTTGAGTGGTTTAAGGGGAAACATTGAAATGTCTTGGAATGGCATAGTCAAAGCCCAGACGTCAAGCCAATTAAGAATCTGTGGCATGACTTAAAGATCGCTGTACACCAGCGAAACCTGTTCAACTTGAAGGAGCTGGAGCAGTTTTGCCTTGAAGAATGAACAAAGATTCCAATGGCTAGATGTGCCAAGCTTATAGGGACGTACCCCAAGAAACATGCAGCTGTAATTGCTGCAAAAAGTGGCTCTACAAAGTATTGACTTTGGGGGGTGAAGAGTTATGTACGCTCAAGTTCTGCAAAGGGAAAGTTCTCCATGTTGTGTAAATCAAATGATACCATTTTATTTCCAGGTGGTACTGCAACAAAATAGGAAAAATGCCAAGGGGGAGCGGGCGTTGCAAATACCTTTTGCAAGCCACTGTGTTCTCAATCTAATAGGTTAGTTGTGAGGATAATCAGACTATAAAACTTGTTTTTATTCAGCTCAGGTGTTCTGTCTTTAGTGTTTCTCCATCTTTGGTATACATTAATCTCTGGCACAAAGATTGTATACTTGTTTAGCTGATGATGGAGACCTTGTTGAGAAGAACTCTATTTAAAAAGCAACACACAATCTGATCTAAAGTAAAAGGATAATACTCAATGGTACCAGCGAGCTGCCACTTAATTTCCAGACAGTTCTAAGTCACATGATTTGTAAAAGTTTTCAATAAAGGAGAAGCAGGGCCGGTGCAAGGTTTTTTGCCAACACAGGCGAAGGTGCATTTTACCACCCCCCCCTCCCCCACATGCAAACCCTGTAGCTATACAAAAGTGAATGAAACAAGGCATGTCTGTAAAGAAGACAGTAAATACCTTTCCTGCTGCCCACACCTCCATCCAAACACTGCTCCAGACCTGAGAAATATTTTGCCGCAGTTCACAAGGAAACAGGCACAGAGTGTCAAAAGTGTCAATTTTCTGGTGCCCCTGCAGCTCTCACTGGTTTCTGCTGCTGATATTTACTTCATTATAGGACTCTGCGATATTTACATATGAATGAGTTGCAATATTTACTAGAGCTGCAGCTAACGATTATTTTCAAAATCGATTAGTTAGCCGATTATTAAGTTCGATTAATCGGTTAATCGGATAAACAATAATTTACATATGCAAATTACCATGGCCCATTCATATGCTAATATATCGGCCGGGACAGTGCAGGAAGAACACTGCACTGTCCCGGCCGAGATATTTACATATGAATGGGCTGCGGTAATTTGCATAATAACAAGCCACGACCCATTCATATGTAAATATCGCGGCACCGGAGAGAGCCGACAGCAGACGGAGATGGGTGAGGAGGTGTTTTTCCGCCCTCCCCCGCCAGGGCCCTTGTGCTGCCTGTATGGTAGCGCCGGCTCTGAGAAGGAGCCATCATTTCAATGTCTCCTCAGCCCTGGCTAACCAAAACCCCTGCCAGATTTTTACTGCCATCTGGGGCACTCTGGCAGTAGGTGAGAGGAAATCTCTCTAACACAGTGACAGCGTTATAACCAGGAGGACATTTTCCACAGGGGCACACACAGCAATAAGAAGCTGCTGCCGTCCCCTTGCATCTATAGTAATGTTTCTCTGTAGACGGCCTTTTGGCTAAGATCAAGTGTAGTATCTGTTCTTATCAGTTCCAGAGGGGAAAAGCATGGACTGTCCTTGGGACGGACAGTTGCTTAGTACCTTCAGGAGTAAAGGTAGGTGCTTGAGGCGACTCCTTTTTGGAAGTGGGGGGAGTTTCCTCTGCACTATTGCCTACTGACTGAACGGATGCAAAGCTTGGTCGAGGCTGGAGGGTTCGGGGGCGGCAGAAGCCCGTGGTGTTGTGCCCCCTGGGGGTGGCGTCCCAGGGGTGCTCAGAAAGTCACATGGGCATGGGACCCCACATGACTCACTGTAGCACTCGGTCACACACCACATTGCAATTTTCTGCACTTCGCCTCCAAGACAGGTTATGGCTTGTCTGGGGCAATATTTTTGCACTCCGGCCCCTAAGGCCTGTCAGAGTGGTGCACTTGCACTTTAGATTTATTTAAGCACTCTATGCACGATTGGCACTTTTTTATTTAAAATTTTGACCCACAGATGCTGAAGGTGCAGGTTTATTCGGGGGCCTATTCCTGATGCTGGGAGGAGATTCTATGCCCTTATATAGGGTTCTCTGTCTCCTCCCAATCCAGGAGGGGGGGTCTCTCTTCGGGAGAGCCCCCCTGCCTAGTGCTGTGCCTAGTGCTCAACCCCTGGCAGGAGCCTTGTGCACGTTTTTGTGTGCTGTGATTTCACGGTTCACTTTTTTTGCTCACAGGGGGATGTTTGTTTAGATGCACGTCCACGGGCTTCGAAAAATGAATATTTCTCTGTAGACAGTATCTCTGGGAATTTTGTATTTAATTGTATTTTGGCTCTCTACTGTCCCCGAGAGTGTGAACAGAAGGTAAAGTTAAATTATAAACATCTCCTGCAGGAATTTCATCTTTAGTGAAACACTTGCAAAACACGATCGCATTCTCGTAGCAAGACCCAGATAATGCTCTGCAATAAAAGTTGCTAAATCTGTTGCACGGTTTGTAGTATATTAGATGAATTTACTTATGTTTGATCAATCATTTTTTATTCAAAAGTAAGAGAAATCGTGTCACAGACCAACAGCAATATTGAGTATCAACTATTTAACTGAGAACCTAAACAATCCAAAAGCTAATATTAGAGACAATGTTGAGAATGGTGACCAGTCGCAGTTTATGGTAGTCCGTTCGATGCAGGCACCACAACTGGCCTCCTTATCTTCCAGGATGAAGATAGACTAAATAGTATTCAAGCATGTGTAGAAGAATGACAGAAAAGTAGATAGAAAAAGGCAAAGTGGGGGGGGAACGGATGGGAGTCCAAGCAAAAGGGCATCTCTAGGATTCCTATGTGCTTCAGTGACCAAACCTACTAACGGTACCACAAATCTATAAGATGACAGTCAAAGGACGGTGGCAAAAAATGTCATACCCAGGGGTTCCAGACTTTTCTGCATTTAGGTTTGGTTTCTGAATTTAGGTTTGGTATCCGATAATCTTGTTGGTAAATGTCCAGTGTATTCTACTCGTCACCTCAGACATAGAGAGGGAGTTAGATGAGCAGGGCTTCGCAACAGTCTGTTTTGTGGCTATAAGAACGTGTAGCATAAATTTAAATTGATGTTTAGTAACTCCTTCTGGTTGGAGATTAAGAAGCTCCTAACTTAGTCGTGCCGGTATGTTGGTACCCAGAACCGAGAGTTTCCAAATGAGATTTATTTCCACTGGAGATTCAACTTTCAAATGGTTTGGCAGTTAGAAGTGTTAGCAGTACTATATTCAGTTTCACAGTTGTATCTGAGATGGCAGGCAAACCTACCAGACAATTGAATGACAGCCAAAATTCACCATACATTACATATGAATTTAAAAACAACAGTTTCCTATGGAAAATTGTATTTTTTTTAAACAAGAACCCCCAACATCTTTTCATCATCTAACATCCCTTTATTATTATGCTTTCACTCCATTGCTTCGCCATTACAAATGTTACACACAAGGCACTTCCTCCTATAGCCTGGGCAGAGTATGGCAATTCCTGGAGGTAGAGGGAGTAAACGTTCTTGACCCAGGACATGTAGAGTGCCAGATCTAAAAACTGTTTGTTGTTCTCTGTTATGTGCTTTGCCTGCTGATATTTGTTAATAGTTCCTCTTTTATTGACTTACTTAATTTCTTTTACAGTAAGCTCTTGAAGACTGCAGCTCGACTCCAGCTTCCCTTTTCTATTTTAATTGTGGCCTTTGGAACTCTACATTTGTACAGAGTATCCTATTTTATTGTGTTCTCTTTATTCATACATGCATTCACTTGCTTTGTTTAAAAGATAACATATTATAGAAAACAAATGTATGCAGTCTTGCAGCCATTTTGTAAACTTGATGGACTCAGTGCTAAAGTAGTTAATACCAAAAAAAATGAAATACAGTTGACAAATCTTGTTTAGTTTACATACATGAAATTGTTTACAACAAAGCAATATTTTTTTACTTGAAACTGAACATACGACGACTATTTTGTACCATCAGTCAGTGTTAAGTATGAAAGGATGTCAAATGCATATTTTGTATAATGGATTCAGGATTTCATAGAAATGTATATTTTTGGACATCCTTTTGGGTTTATAAAAATGTGTATTTATAGCCTTTAAAATAAATTTCAGTACATGAGAGACGAGAAAGCCTGTGTTGTTTCACTTCCAGTTCCTACTTTTGATGTGTAGTTTAATGGATTCTTTGTGGTTGTCATTTACTTTTTATCGGCTTTGAAGGGAATTGATCGCCACTAAGCAATTTCTCATCCATCTCTGGATAAAGCTACATGTCCATGGGCTTCAGGATCATGTCACCTAAGCCCATCCTGTTATAAAAGTCATTGTTGGCTGTCTACTTCTAAAGTAAATAGGTTGTTGTGCACACAGAGCTGTAACCATGTAAAATTTGTGCCCACCAGAGAAGGTCTGGTCTAGCTGGCTTCAAGCTCTGTAAGCTTCACTCGAGTGTCTATTGTTAAGAGATGAAAGCACCACTGGGTTTCGGCAAGTCCTTTAGTAGTAGGAAGCAGGATTGAATCCGACTGCAAATGTTCTCTTATTTGAAGTGGCACTAAACTCAAAAATTTAATTTTAAAAATGCATCCAAGTACCTTCATTATTAACAAAAATGTATCTTATTTGTGTATCACTCAGCTATAGATCGTCAATTCATCTCTGAATTCATGCTGACACTGTCCTTCCTTCTGGAGGGGGGCTACTTTTGGTCCCTGTGTGTGTTATATAGTAGTCGCCGCTCCAAGCTCACTCCCAGGACAGACTACAATCTCACGTCTAGTTTACTAACAAATAATGCTGAACTCCAGCTAAAACGTTTTAACCCCTTCGTGACTGACGACGTACAGTGTACGTCGCCAGCATCGGGGCTGTTTAAACAGACTCCTGGCGACGTTTGCCGCCGGGAACGGTAGCAAGGAGCAAGCTGCCGTTTACTATGCCTGTTAGGAGGCTGCCGCTACCTGATCGTGACCGGCCCCGATCGCATACTTAAGGGATCTGGGACGGTCGGATCTATTTTTAGAGGTGGGCTCGCGCGCCAGCTGAGAGTGCCCCATGTGCCCTCTTCGGCACGCGTGCCATATGTTCGCCACCACTGTTCTAGTGCATCAAACACTACTCTGTCCACAGGTTTACAATGCTGCTGTCCAAAGGTGGCTCTGTTGCTTCTCCACAGAGTGTAACCAGCCTAAGACAGGACTCCCAAGGTGAAAATAAGAAGTCTGAAAAAAAAGTGAAGCAGTCACCACATCTAAGGACTGGTAAACTGCAATATAAGTTTTTGGGTTTAGATATGCTTTAAATATGTGTTCAGCTAAGAACACAGTAAGGAGCAGTTGTCTGCTTTTATTGCCGTCTTTCCAGATCATGATTTTAAACCTCTCAACAACTGCTTGTAAAGTCTGGATCCAGCAGAGCTGAAGATGGATGCCATAGATACCATCTCAGGACACAAAGCTGTGATTGCGCCCAGTGTCCAGCATCATAGAGGCAAAATATTATTCCCAGGTGCTGAAGACTGTGTTCCTCCAAACATTAATTTAGGTACACACTTTAGTGTGACATTTACATAAGTGAATGACTTCTCAGTAGCTCCTCCAATGAGCTCTTCTCTCAAGTAGTAACACACAATATAAGAGCACAGGACAAAGATTGTAAAATCCTCACAGTAACATGCAGTACAATCCCAGGGAGAGCAGGTCTTGGCGCATAGGCCAGACCCTCATTTTCACCGAAGATGATGACTCAGACCAAAGGATTTATTTCTACTTGATATTCTTAGCCTGTACCTGGCTATTGTAGAGTTCCCAAACGGGGTTAGGGTGCATTGGGTTAAGGATTTGGGCATCCTGGCTGTGTAACAATGGTTGGTCGCACTTGATAGTGTTTCACTGGTACCCTTTAATCTTACTCAGAAGCTGTTGCAGCTATATTATTCTTAGAACCCACTGGACTCCGAGTGCCCTATGAGCTTGCATGCTTGGGTGTGAGGATTTTAAACCTTATTCAATTGTTTCCTGTAGGAGGAGCCAATCATCTCATGTTACCGTCCTGGAAGATGATTGGGTGAAATAATAATTAGTTGCACTCCCCAAACACAGCCACTGACCCATCTTGCTTACTGCAGATTCCTGCATCTTCTGCTGCATGTCAAAGAATGTCTGTTTGGTAGTATTCATACCAAATCAAGAAAAACTAACCTATGAAAGGGTAGACAAGCTTGAGACTGTAGTTGGACACCCCTGGCTTCCCCGCTTTTGCATTGGTAAAGATGGAGCATTACTTCGAAATAGGGGTCCTGTCCTGTGTGTTGTGCTATGGATGCCTTCCGCCTAAGGCACAATGTTAGTATGGTCCTCCATATTTGCAAGTATACCTAGATGTCGCATACACTTTCAGGAAGCATCTGGAAGTCCTATATACACTGCCTGGCCAAAAAAAGTCAGTCTCAGTTCAGCAATGTTATGTCCCCCCAAAAAATAGGCCAGCTGCCCTGTAAGAGTGTCACAGGGAGTACAAGACATCATTTTCACATGGATTGACCACCACATAGTCCAGACCTTGACCCCATTGAGACTTAGTGGGATGTGCTGGAGAAGGACTTTACGCAGTGGTCTGACTCTCCCATCATCACTACAAAAAATGATTGCAACGGAAGGGAGAGGGAAAAAGTGACATTGCATAAGCTTATCAAAATGATGCCACGGCAAATGCATGCCATAATCAAAGCTAAAAGGAGGTCCAACCCTTGTCTTTTTTGGCCAGGCATTGCACATTTTAATGATCACAATTAAGATGATGCCTGGCATCTTAGTTTCACTACCAAATGAACTCGCCAATTTTAAAGGTTTTTTTCAAAAAACAGGGATTGACCGATTAAATTGGTATCGGCATACAGAATGCCAATATTACCGATATTGCAGAGAGAGTGGCCAGCCCTATAGCAGCTCAACAGAGGTCCTCAATGTGCCTGTGTGGCCCCCTCCTCATGCATAGTGCTATCTTCCCTGTTGCCAGTCACAACTCCGGCCATGGAGAAGGACAGAAGCAAAGGGGTGTGTCAGCCTGGAACAAGGTAGATAAATCCAAGGGGGAATTATCTCGCCCCTTCCTCCGGGAGGATATGGAAGCTGTTAGCATGGCCACACTGGCACATATAGATCAGCCTGGCTTGGGATACCCATGTGTTTGTGCTGGCTGGAAGTGAGTATGTGTATGGGGGGGATTTTTGGAGAGCAGTACAGTCAGAATAAAGAATTAGGTGGACTTTTAGTCCTGAAGCCTTTACTATTATCTGGTTTGCTCATTAAATATTTAAAACAGCAAATACTGAAGACAACTTTTAGTACTTTTCAAAAAGGGGAAATTTTACAGTTAAACCATTATGAAAAAAAAACACAAGTTCTGATCTGATACATGATGTGCTTATTCAGAGTTCTTGATTTAAGGTTTTGAAGCCAACGGACCAGGATATCAGACAAATAGCATTTTCTAAAGGAAGCCAGCAGCATTTGCCTTCTGGATTTGGAACTTTACCAGATTTGGACTTTAGTCCTTGGTGATCTCACAGGCATACTGGGACCGGAGTGCAGACCCCAGGTAACCTCACAGGCAATGCTGGGACCAGAAGTTCCGTGGTGGAAGGCATGCTGGGACTTGTGTACCTAAAAAAGAGGCCACAAGTATACTGGGACCTGCAGACCTCGATTTTTCACAACTTTAAATGTACAGATTAGCACCTGATATTCTGCCGTCTTTTAGGCTGATAGCTGATATCAGTATGAGCTCTGAAAAAGTGATATCAATTGATCCCTAAAACAAACAACTATGATGGTAGCAGTGCCCCACCCCAGCCTTTGCCCCAGTAACAGTCCCGGAATTTAGTGAGCACATGTGCAGTTTTGAATTTATGGAACATCTTTGTATGTGCAATCATTGTTGTGGAAGGAATGGCTAGTTCCACCCCCTGTCTAATATTTCTCCTTCAGAATTCAAGGGCAAGTACAGAAATATAAAGTTCACCTTCTTAGCAATTCTAGATTCTTCACTACACTTAAAAGGAGAACTCATGTTTAGCACAGTGCTCCAGCTGTCTCAGGATTTAAAGAACTATGAGGTGAGTGATTTTCACTCCTCATAGTTCTAGCCGACCTGTGACAATGAGACTGTCACGGGTCGGCTCAGTAGATCGGGAAGTGAGCGAACATATACCGGGTTCGCTCACCTCTCCATCCTGTCACAGCTCTCTGCCGGGACGGGAGGGGCTGGATTCCCCCCCTCCTCCAGCGCTGACTGGCGGAACGGACGGGGAGGGTACAGCTGGCTCTGCCTCTAGATCGTCAGAGCCAGCTGTCACTCACCCCAGCTGGGCTGATCCAGACATAATTGTCGGGATCCGCTTCAGCTGCGGCGTCTCAGTATACCGCGAGCTGTAGCTCGTGGTATACTGAGCTTTGGGTGACGGGAGGATGCTAGTTTGTGTCCTCCCGTTACCCTAAGGAGAACCATGGGGAAAAGCCCTCACCCCATAGTTCTCCTTTAATTGGCAATTTATATTTTTTCACTGATCTTACACAATTCTGCCATTCAGGAATAATATCGTACACTTCCAAACATTAATGCCCAAACCCTAAACATTGTACAAAGCACAGGCGTTACCCATTCTAGCTTCTACAGTCTACTATAGGACTGGCTATGTGCATTACAATCGAACATATCAAAATAAAACAAGGTGACTCCAGAAATCACAACAGACAAAATGCATGTAAATGTTTTTCCAGTTTTATTTGTCATTTAAATGGTAAAAGCCATAGTTATCAGCAAGCAGTAGGTTTGGAGACCAGCTAGATGGAAAACAGCACAAGTTCACAAGCAGCAGACTAAGGAACACTGGAAATATATCCTATTCCATCCTTAAGGACCAAAAACATAAAAAAAAACCAACCCTAATCATGGACAATAAACATGTCCAAAACAAACTTCAGATACCTGAAACAAACAAAATGAGTCTTGGCTATATTGGAAATATACTGCAGTTACAATACATTTGATAAATGAATGAAATTACAGTAATTCCTACTAGAAAAACAATGAAGAAAAAAAAATTACATAATACTGTCACGGTCATCTTTTCCTTGCTCAACTTCCAGTATAAAAAAGGCATTCCAAGTAACCCAGAGGAAAAAAATGGTTAAATGTGCAGACACAGCATAACATTCCGTAAACTGTGGATTCATGAGGCTTTAAGTACACTGCTTTTCAAAAACATGATACACATGGGAAAGTAGAATTGATCTAGTTCACAGGTTGTGGTCTAAAATGTTTTAAAAAAAGGTAGCCGGTATAAGGAACAGATTGCTCATTACAATAACACACCAAGAGCGAGGAGACTCAAACCTGGACAGTTACACAAGTGAAGGTGTATATGCAGAAGCAGTAAAAAGATCACAGCAATGGGATTATTTGTTACTTCAATTAAAACGAGATCTGTGCAGTTACGGTTACCTCTAACATGACACTTTGAAAGAGGATTGCAAATTTCCAGAACTAATCATCTTTGTTTTCACAGCAGCCCAGAAAGATCAAATTCCAACCAGACAAAGTATCCACAGTATATAGCACCATTATATAGAGCATGTCCTAATAGTATGATGCTGCAAAGCCATGCATGGCATGTTGGTACACTGGTGACATGGACAGGTAGAAACTTCTAATGTAACACCATTCAGGTAGAGCTCGCTTTACTACAAAGCTGGTTACGTTTTAGCAGAAGACACCATATACGTTGAAGTGCTGGTATTAAGAACCTGGTTGGTTAAGAATAATTTGTATGTATTGTGTAATTGATGTTATTCACACTGGTGGTTTTGGCTATTATGACATTACAAATCAGGTTATATTTTGAAATGTCCCCGTTTGAGGTAGTTCTCATCTCTCTTGTGAACAGTTCGTGTAGAAGCAGGAGATGTGCACAGGAAACATCGGTGAAGGATGTAAAATATACACGAGAGGATTTCTATCCAACTACACACCCTTAACTGTTTCACAGGGGATTTTGCACAGCTGTTAACATCTCAAGGCAGCTCCATGGTAAGGATTGTGCCTCATCCTAGCGGCAGCACACTCCCTTTGAGGTGGATTTGAGGAACTACAGGGATAATAAAGATCTGGCTGCACCAGACCGTTTCCTGCCTTATAAAGCAGACTCTTCCATGGGGAGAGTTCACCAACATCTTTAATCCTTCTCATCCCTGCAGTGCCTCTAGTGCAACTTGTAAGGTCCAGTCCTTGTGGTTACAACTTCTCGAAAGGTTTGTTAAAATGGTATTATAGAAGGCAAACCAGTCTCAAAAATCTATCTGAACTTTGGTGCAGAGATCAGATTCAGTAACTGTAAACGAGGTAGCAGTTTATTCTATTAGGATGTGCTGTGAACAATGGTGCATTTACCTCAAATTGTGCCCTACAGAGGGGCAAATAGTTATGATCTAATTACTGACAGGAGCAGGTCCTGTTGATCTATAAGGTTTATGGGAATAACTGAAATAACCTCTCCAGTACAAAGCTTTGCTTAATGCCCTGCACATGCAGAGGCACAAGGAACACATTTTATTTTTTATACCCAACCATGCGAGAGTCAACTAAAGTTGGAAGCCACAGGTTCCAGATCTTTTAGTATTCCCACAGGGTAGAGGAGTCCATAGACTCTCCATTGGCTTTCAAAACTCCAGCATGATCACCCTTCAGGTAGAGGCCATTCACCTTGATCACTACTTTATTCTGATCAAAGAATTCAAAGAAGAAATCAACAGGGGAAGAACTACTGCTGGTGACAGATGTATCACTGCCTGCGGTCCAAAATTTCCCGGTGGAATCTAAAAAAAAATAAAAAAATTAAGTTTCAGATGCTGACCATGCAAACATAACTTGACAATGGTTAAGGTTTAAATGGTTAGGATATGGATTTATCCCAATCTATGCGACTATGCCTAAGCCAACAAAATAATAGAATAAGATTTATACATACAGAAATACACACACCTTGTTATATACTATACACACCTCTACCACATTGCCTCAGACAAGCAACTACCCTAATTCCCGGTTTAGCTTTTCAGCTTCCCATGTCACCTCTAAACCTCCAGCATGCTCAGGGAGCAATGAATCATCTTGCTGATTTTTGCCCAATGTGAACACAGGTGGCAGGATAAAAAAAAAGTTAAACTGAAGCAGGAAGTAGTGGAGCCACATGGCATAGTGTGGTAAAGTAAAGCTGAACACAAAAGAATTATAAATCCGCTGACAAGTAAAACTATGCACACATTTATTATTTTAACATGTTTAGCCATTTGCCTGGAATCCCAGTTTCAGTGGTTAACCTTGCTTTTATTTCTTATCCCTCATCTTCCTATAGTGTTACTACCCTCCGATGCCCAGCTCTTTGGCTTCCTTTCAGACTATACATACCTGTGTACTTCTGTACCGTTTCAATGGCTCTAGAGCTGTAATGCCAGCAACAAGCAGGCCTTTACCGTTTTTACCCAACTACTGTCTTGCTGCAAGTTGTCTGGAGTTGGTGCAGTTTTAATTTTAGTAGAGCGTTCACAGGAGTAAACAAATGCAGGCCATCCCCTGGATTCTAGCTTTTATAGCAACCAATAAGCCAACCTATACTCGAGGATTAAAGAGTAGCACTAAAGGAAAAAAAAGACCCTGCACAGGTTCGGAGTTTCTGATTTCAAGCTTGCTAAATTTAATTTTTCCAAAACAATTTGTTATAGTAGACTTTTCACATGCCTGCCCATCTTCCTGTGCATCACAATGTTTCTAAAGGATAAATATTGAACCTATTCAGAAATGTTCTAGTTCAGCTTTAACACTTGTATTCATATGAACATTTAAGAAGTGGCAAGTTAGGGTTTAAGAGGAGAGGGACCTTAGAGTGCCCTTTGCACTCGTGATGAGCCAATTGGTTAAAGCACTTGAGGACATTGGGGGTACAGAGATGAGGCACAAAAAAAAAAACTTTTACAAGGCATCTAAAAAAGTTTTTCTAGAGTGCATCTCCTACACCCTTGCCCCTCTTCCCTGCTGAAATGCCAGATTTTGGACTGTCTTCACTTGAAAATGTGTAAAACTCCATAGGACCTGGTTAATGTTACAGATTTGGGGAAGGAAGACCAGGAAGACTGCTTGCAGACACCTGTTAAAATAACCTTATGCACACATGAGCACCAGATTTAAACCTTTATTAGCCACCAGGCATATTTAAAACCACAGGACTAGCAAAACTAATGAAAGTTCCTCTAACAGCCCCAAATGTCTCACATCACAAGCTTCTTTTTTCCACCCCACCCAATATTGTGCCTTCCCTATTCTAAATTTATTTTAGGGTCCAAATCCTCAGCTCTTTTACATGACCTGATGGGGTGCCTGGTCACCCTTTTTTGATGGTTGTGTATTGGAAATCCTGCAGGAGGTTTACTGCCTCAGCTTCTCTTATGCTTCTGCACAAACTTTCAAGCCACAAAAGTGGCAATCCTTCATTGGATGTCTCCATATCTCTGGGCAGCCCTATGGGTAAGGCTCCTAAATGAAGCATTACCTTTCGAAAAACTAGTTTATAAGGAGGATTCCCTACCCATAAAGAGGATTCCATACCCATTGTGAAAAAAATTAGAATACCTGGTTGACAAACTTTGCCTTAATCCACTTCTTAATAAGTCCTGGTTCACACCTAGGCGTATTGCATATGCGCGTCTGTCACGCAAAAATCGCGTGACACGCGCGTTTCCGAGGGCTACTTGGCTGTATCCCAATGGAAACGCGCTAAAAAACGGCCCAAAGTAGTACATGTACCTTTTCAGGCGTGGGCAGTTTTGTAGCCCGTTAGGGACGGGCGGAAATACGCCAAGGTGGGAACCAGACCATTGACTACAATGGGATTTATATTTTTGAGCGTTTTGTAGAGCGTTCGTCGAGCGTAGAACGCGCTACAAAACGTTCAGGTGTGAACGAGGCCTAAAGCATGGCCTAGGTATGGAGTCCTATTGTCATTTTCCCTCTTCCTCCTCTCCCACAGGTAAAACTAGTCGGCATTTGTTTTGCCATTTTCAATATTTTAGTTTAAGGACTACACCTTGAAATGTTAACATCTCTAGCAGATGTATATTTGGTTGTAATATTGTGGTGATTGGATGTCATTCTGTCATGTATTACATGTGATCACCTATTTTGTCTCAAAACATGGTTTTGAAGGGGAAAAAAAAAATTACACTTTAGTCTGCAAGTGTCATCGAGTAAATACAATGCGATATCCACATTGTGTGTTCATATGTAGATTAAAGAAACCTTACAAGTAAAAAATAACCACTTCTAAATAAAATGTATTCCTATTCAAGCCCTTATTAACAATTGGTTAACTATAAATCAGCCCTAAGATGTTTTTCTTTACCATTATTGTGTAGGTTTATAATGCCTACATCCACAAACAACCCTATATATTAACGTTTTTCACAAATTTACTTTGAGAGACTAGTAAAGAGGGGAGACCAACAGATGTTATTCAAAGATAAGTTAAAAATGCATCCATGGCTTTGTTGACCTTTGTTTTAGGGGATTTCTTTTTTTCCCCCCTTTTAGACTTACCTTTGAGGTTATAAGCCCCATCATTAAATTCCAGTTGAAAGACATCATAAATTGAGCGGTTAGAATCGAGGGTCCCGGTCAATTTACGGCAGCCTATGAATCCATGTTCTCCTCTTAGGACAATCAGTGGACGGTTGATAAGTTTCATCAAGAAATGCTCCGTCTCCACTGCACAAAAGTAATAAAAAAGAGAAAGACAGATTAAACACAAACAAACCAGTACTGTAACATTTAAATATCCCTTTACAATAAATGTTCTACTTAAGATGGGCATTCCACACATTATTTTAATTATAGGTGAACAACCGTGGACTACAGCAACCGTGTCTCCTTTAATTTACCTGGATACTGGAAAAAAGGAGAACACTTCCCAATGGGAAGAAAGAACAATGAAATGTGGTCAAAGTAGTATTTCTGGGCCAAGTGAAAGGAAAAAAAAACAAAAAACCCATCTCAAAAGAAAAAAGTTGACAGAAACCACATTAAAAAAGGAAAGACCAGCCAGTCAACCGTAGAAGGCTCAAGCCTAGCACTCCTAATTCTTGACTCAATGGAAAGGAAAGCCCATAAGAGAGGGGGGGGTTGGAGGACTGCCTGATCAGACACGCAATCTCACAAAGATCCTTCGCTGCACAATATCCCAATAGGTAAAAAGGAATGACCCACAAGGCTGGTAGAAACTGAAAGGTTAGTAACCCTGAATCCTCTAAAGGAGAGCTTTAAGAGAATTCAGAGTTACGAACCTCTGAGGAGCTAGGGTTAGGAATCCTAATGCTACTACTAAGAACACTTGTCTGAGTATAGGAGAGCGGAAGGAATCTAAGGAGACTTCCTCAGCTTCGCTGCAGAAAGTGTCCATCTCCCAGTGATCAGGTCCCACAAAAGGCTTCCAGACTAACACCATCCCCAAAGGAGAAATTTGCAGCAGAGTCCCAGCATGGCCTGTCTGCCGATTGTCCAGGGGATAGGGGATCCTTGAGTGATGGATACTTCCTCCAAGCAGGCAAAGGGTGTACTCAAGTGTTGAACCCTCACCCTTCGATGTGAAGACCATAAGTTGAGGGGATCCCAATGGCAATACCTTCGCTCTAGGAAAGACCGTGAGATCACAAAGTAAACACGGGTTGCGTGACCTGCTTCCTATGTTGGACATGGACAGTGCTGTCACAGGAAGAGTTTCCAAAACTTTCTGGAAGTAAAGGCACTACAGCAACAAGCGGATGTCCAGCAAAAGTCAGGTAAAATAAAGACCCACAGAACAACCCCCCCAATGACTCTAGATGCCCAACTAGAGGGGTCTAGGCTGTAGGCTACTAAAAGAGTGACATGAGCACCCAAATACCATGGAGGTAAACTACCCAAAGAGATAAATAGCCCACCACTTGTTGAAAAGGGGTGCACCTTCATGCAGAATGCTGGCAGAGGTGTTAGATGACCCTACGGCTTGAGTTGAAAGCAGGTACAGACTACATGACACCACTGTAGATTTAGAAGGGGGTTGTTCCACCCCTTCCACAGTCCTCCTGTGTTGAGGCAGGAGCACACTCCAATCACCACTGTCATTGCTAAAGATGGAATCAAGAGCAGGTCTGAAAAGGAGACTTGTCTTGATGGGCAACAGATTCAGATGTTCCTTGGGATGCATCATGGCATCCCAGTAGCCAAAGTACCCTACGCATTTGAACAGACATCAGTCCCATGTGAGAAACCAGCTTAGAAGCTTCTGAAAGTGCAAAGACATTTGCTCCAAGGGCTCAATAAGACTAGGCCTACACTGGCAGTAAAGGGGTCCTTTTTAAGGCATTTAACTTCTAGCGATACAGTTCAACAAATCAGTGACCACAAACACAGGGTGGAGAATAAATCCATGTCATTTAAACTGGGATAAGTAGGCAATCCAACATCCAGTCAGTGAAATTACTAAAGGTGTAAACACCAAAGGTTTTGTAGCATGCTTGGTAAGGTGGATCATTGGAGCACCTACAGTGGGGAAAAGCCCACCAAGTGATAAAGCTTTTCCCATTTGAGGGGAAACCTTGTCACATTCTCCAGAGGGGCTCAGAATCCAACAGGGTGTCTTCAGTCCTCAGAGGAACAAACTTGTAGTATTAAACTTAAAATGTTTTTCAGTAATTAATCCAGATCAAGTATTCATTGCCCAGCAAATCATTGCTTTACATTTTTGCCCAAACACAATCATGTTTCTGAACAGCTGCTTCCACGCCCCTTAGCGCATCTTCCCTGAAATTCCTGTCCAGTACTAGATCACAAAGGACAGTGCATACTCGAGCAACTGTTTCATCTCCTCGCTTGGAAAAGGGAGGAGTGGGGCAGGAGGGAGGGAAGTAGCTTGATTTGCAGTGTCTGTTTGTGGAGAAACACACCTTACTAGCACACACAAGGGTGACTGCATAGCATTTGATTGAGAAAGGAGTAACTCTAAGGGCCCAGTCACACCATATCCAGTGCATTCCAAACCAGGAACACACAATCACATAGATCAGGCCAGGCAGCGTTCTGGGGCAGGATGGGCCGTTGTGTTGTCATGTCAATGGCACCGCAGGCACACCCCCACCCGCAGTGCGATTGCCTGCACCAGAACAGGAGGTACAGGAATGCTGCATGCACCATTTTTTCCCCAATCGCACTGCACTGGAACGGAGGCAATTACTGTAGCTCGTGTTCTGGTGCGTATGATCCAACATGTCAAAGGCACACCCCCTGTTAAACGGTGTAGTAGAAAACTAGGTGCAAAAGGGAGGCAAGGCCTTGTGTGCTCACACCCAAGCAGCTGGGGGTGACTAGGTTTCAGGTGGTCTGAGGTGACCCAAGTCACCGTAGGCAGCCACTGGAACAGGACCAGAGACTAAATGATCCACAAAGTGCTTCAGATGCAGGAGCAAAGTGCTTCACGAGCCACCACTCCAAGCTCACTCCCGTGATGGAATACAACCTCATGTTTAGTTTACCAATTTGTATTGAGATAGTAGTCTATCATAGGAGTGAGCTTGGAGTGGGAACAAAAGTAGCCACCCTCCAGAAGGACGGTATCGGCACAAATTCAGAGGATCTACAACTGAGTAATACAGATATAAACTACACTTTTGTTCATAGTTAAGATATTTCATTTTAAAGGTTTAACTCCCAAGTGTAGTGTCACTCTAAGCCGTATTGTGGTGGTAGACAGGGTCACACCTGAAACTGTGCCATGGCAATAGACCCTGACAGAATGTTCAGAGACCAGCTCAAGCAGAAATGTGGAAATCTTGATAAAGGTGGCCATACACCTGCCGATGATCGTACGATAATCGTGAGAAATCCCGCGATCGTACGATAATCGGCAGGTGTATGGAAGGCCTGCGACCGTTTCTACTGTACAGTCGCACGTCGCTTTCTGACAGAAAGCTCAAACAGTGACTGCAGCTTTCTGACCAAAATTTTCCACCTTGCCGAGTCCACAAAAATGGGTTCAGTAATGGGCTTCTCAAGCTGGCACGGTTACACACTAAGGTGCCCATACAACTAATGTGATTTGTTTTTGCATACGATAATCGTCCAGGCTGATGGGAAGTGCGCGATCGCAATTACTGTACAACTGCCTGAATTTGGTTGAATGTAGAGCTGCAGCTAACGATTATTTTCAAAATCGATTAGTTAGCCGATTATTGAGTTCGATTAATCGGTTAATCGGATAAACAATAAAATAACGTTTAAAAAGGCAGACTAGAAAACTTAAACCACACACGCCATGGTGGAGAAGTGGCATTTTCGTACAAAAAAAAAATTCCGACATGAACACTGCGCATGCACAAACAAAAATCTGTTTTGTCGATCGACGAAATTCGGCCAGTTAGTTCTGATGACGAACTATTATCAAAATCTACATTGGTCTGTGCATGATGGGCTATTTGTGCAGAAATCAACGAGGGTGCGATGGCGGGACAAAAAAAATTGACCGATAATTGTAAGGTGTGTGGGCACTTTTGCAACTTTGTCCAATTTCTGTGAATTGGCCAAAATGCTAAGTGTATGGTCAGGCTAACAGTCTTGGGATATGCATCTGAAAAAAAGAATATAAATTATTAGCAAACAGCCTCACCAGGAGAATCCACAGATGCTGACAGCTGTCCATTCTTCTTAGCAGTCACGTATTTTCCATTTGCTGCCCTTAAAGTTATCCGCCGATCACACCAATCAATGTCAAAGTAACACTGGTCATTTCTGTTAGGAGAAAAAAAAGTAAAATCAATTAGGGTACGCTAAGAACTACATACAAATATGTAGGGGCCGGGGTAGGCAGCCTTGGCACTCCAGCTTTGGTGAAATGCCGAGGGAGAGGGGGGACAGAATTTTTTTGGGAGCGGACAAACCCAACTCTAAATTTTATTAGCATCATCTGCCTGAAGAGTTCCTTACTTTTGGCAGATTATCATCACAAATGCTGGTCACATGACTAGACAGAAGAGCTTTATTCGGGCAAGTACATACAGTACATGGCACACACTTCACTAATAATTCAGTGTTACAGTTCACCTGTACAATATAGACATGCAGGCTGCACAGCCTGTACACAACTTAAACAGAAGGAGCACCGCCTTTCCCGCTCTGCATTTAGCCCTGCTTGCCCGCAGCAGGCTAAATGTAGGGGGGGGGACCTGCCAGGAGGCTGGAACTGCATGGCATCAAGCGATAGGAATCCCGTACCCCTGACTAATTTCATTTTGCATTTCCTACAAAACTAATATACAGACAGGTTATGCCATGAGCAGTCCCTGGCATAACCTTGGCATGCCTGGTCTCAAGTTTACAGTTCTCAACCACAAAGCTACAGCCAGTAGAACAGATTGTATTTTTCCACTATTTTAAGTCCTCCCTTAGCTGCAAGACATCAGTATTGTTTCAACTTGTGTATTCATGTTCTGCATCTAAGCTACCTGAATATTTTGTACGGATACTGTGAAAGTGTGCTGGATGCTGAAGATATTTCTAGGGCTGCAACAACTAATTGATTATAATCGATGAATCGTTGGCAACGATTCTCATCGATTAGTAGCTCTTCTTCGAGTAGTTGCAGCCGCCGCTCTGCTCCTCAGCTCTCTACCCCGCTGGTGCTGGCTGCAGCGGTCTCTGTCCTTTTCAATCCCCGCTGCTCTCCCCGCCTGTGTAGGCAGAGGCAGCGAGGACACAGACCACTGCAGCCAGAACCAGCGGGGAGGAGAGACCGCTGTGACTCTGCAATCCCCCCCGCTGCCCCCTCTACCTCAGCAGCCGCTCTGTCTCTCCTCTTCCACTGCCCATTCTCTATTCTTCCTCTGCCCGGCGCCGTTCAGCCGCTTTAGCGGCCGTTGCAACTGGAGGCTTGGAGCCATACCCAGCCTGCTATTGGATATTTTAAAGTGCAATAGCCAATACCAGGCTGGCTATTGCACCCGCCCACTGCCTGCTGTCAATCAGCAGATGAGGACATGATTGAGAACTTCATGTCCCTCCTCTGCTGATTGACATCAGGCCCGTGCAATAGCCAGCCTGCAATTGGATGTTGCAATTTGAAATATCCATTAGCAGGCTGGCTATTGGTCCCAGCAATAAAGTAAACTTTTTAATACAAAATAAAAGTTAAACTAAAAAATAGAAAACTTTTTTTGGTGTGACTATATTGGCTTACAGTTTTACAATTCACATTTTAAAACCATGAAACTAATTAAAATGTCTTACATACACAAAAACAGGAGTATTGCAGTATGCAATAATACCTTTCAGACTGCAATACTCAGTAAATGGGTAAGCCGTATTAGTCCAGCAGACAAGATGATTAAATCGAAGTTAATCGGCTAACTAATCGAACATGAAAATAATCTTTAGCTGCAGCCCTAGATTCTGGTTCAGTGTTGGGGACTTCAGTGTAAGCAATGGAAAAGCAGTCACTTTTTTTCCTTCCTTTGTAGGCACACCTTATTTTTATTTGAACTTCCAGGGTCAGGTTATATGCACTTGCTGTTCCTTTTCAGTAGGACTTTCACCCCTTTGCAGGCACCAATGTAGAAAATAAAATGTGCATTTTCGCAATGTGGGTAAGTTTATACATTTATTTTGGTGAAAAGTGGAATCTGTCCTTGCTCTCTGCTAAGTGCTTGCTTCCATCTACAACAATTTGTACATGTAATCCATGCAGACTACATCTGCTTTAAATCCATTAGCATCTGCTGCATGGATTACATCTACAAATTGTTGTAGATGGAAGCAAGCACTTAGCTGAGAGCAAGGACAGATTCACCATGTAGTTCCCTACAGACAAAAGATGACTGGCAAATTGGCTTGACCAATGTATACCTAAATCTCATGTCCGGGAGGTATAGAACTCCATGAAGCTCCCACTGTCCGGCTGATGCAAACGTCCCTTTCAGTTAAAGGCATATAAAACCCTCTTAATCCTCCAGGAGGAGATTCACTTGTCTGTGTAGATGTTTGTTTTTTTCTTTCCATATTTTTATTTGCTTGATGTACTGCGGCTGCCTCTCCTCTCGTTTACAGGTGTCAGCTTGCAAAGGAGACACCTGTATGTTCGCACTCCTGGGTAGGAATTGAGCTGCGCTGTGTGCGTCCATTGACACACACACACACACGTTCCCACCTCCTCTCCCCTCGCAGTATCTTGATGGGCATGCACAGAAGCCTATAACTGGCCTGCTCTCTGTAGGCTCGGGATCCCTCCTCTCAAACTGGATTTTAGGCCCACACATCGTCTGGGAGCCAGCGGCTGTGAATATGCAGTGTAGGCAAGTGTTTGGGGGATATGTAAAAGGTAGTGGGGTGTTTTTTTACCCCAATACAAAGAATCAATTAGGGTAAAAAACAAATAGCCTTTTGTACCATAACTTTATAGGCTGGCACAGCTGTTATTACAAGTTTATAGAGTACTCTAGACTGCTTGCTTGAAGGCCTGTTAAGATTATGCATACCTGCCCTACAACCCTTGCAAGCCTACAGAGAGAGTTAAAGGCCAGGTGTAGGTGATCATTTAAAAAGTCATCTGAGCCCCTACAGTGTCCAGCTGGGTGCAATAAGCACAGACAGAGCAGCCACGATGACATCCACCTATGGGCTTCACTGACCACTACAAACAAATAGTCCAGATATGTGCATGTGGGCTTGGCCGTTCTGTTAGGTGCATTGCAAAGCATGTCAAACGTACATTGTCCTGCTGGGATCCTTTAAACTGTACTTGGCAAACCTTAAAGCACTGGTTGGACTCAGACAGCCTCAATGCAGTTGTCTACACCAAGGCAGGGCAGACCTGAGCATTTTGGCAAAAGTAGGCCTAATGGGAAGGGGGTAGAGATTTTATACACATAAAACACTTTCTAGGTTTGGAGGGTTCCACAAGGACTTTACCCTTTAGGTGCCTGATATAGAATAAGTAAAAAAAATAGTAAAGACAAGTTTGCTTTAAGTTAGAGAACAATGGATTAACTCACAGCATTGAAGCAGTAGCTTGGATGCCACCATTATTGGAAAGGGTCCAGTACTTCCCAGTATGAGTCCTAAATGCACATTTCTTCGTGTCTTTATTGATTTCCAGTTGAAAAGTCTCTTGGTCACTCTCTTCATCTTGATTGGCTGAGAGGTCTATCCCTAAAAAAAAAAAAAAAATATTTATATATTATACCTTTGATTCTCTGGCTAAACAAATACAAATGATCTAAACTTCTGTTAATTAGCGAAAACTGCAACACAAAAAACAGAAATTAGGACATTAAGGGACTTTTAATCCCTAGCATCCTTTCAACATTGGGACAGGATTTAACGCAGACAGTGGCGTGGGACCGGTGTCCCATAATGACTAAAATGTATTTTGGAGTGAAGTACAAAAATAAGATTAACTTGCCAAAAAAAACCACCACACACACACACACCTTTTCCGGGAGTACAGGACAGAGGCTTAGACAACTGGGTCATATGCAGATAGCTTCAGGTAATTGGGCACTGACCAAACATCGATAACCCTTCCCACTGCCAGCAAGCAAGCAATAAGAGTAATGCTGCGCACACACCTTACAACCCTTGCAAGACTGTTGTCTTGCGAGGGTTGTAAGGTAATTAAAAAAACTTATGATCTGCCCATCTTGGACAGGCAGATCGTACTTGCGATGATCGCAAGCCCGCCCCGCTGAGGGGCGGGCTTCCAATGACCGCAATGCTGAACAGGCAGTGTGCACTTGCGCACACCGGCCCGTCCGGCTTTTATCTTACGAACATGCCACACACCCGCCGAACATCGTACGATTCTCGGCGTTTTTTCGAACATGTTCCTAAGATAACAGTCGTGCGACCTTACAGTAGCAGAGGTCGCATGCCTTCCACACACCTTGCGATAATCGTACGATCGTGGGATTTCCCACGATTCTCGTACGAGAATCGTGCAGTGTATGGGCACCTTAACACAGATACAGAGTTTTGCCAGTGTCCAATTACCTGAAAGTATCTGCATATAACCCAGTGTCCCGTATGGTTTTATTTTTTCGTCTATAAGGCTCCGTTCACACCTAGCGTTTTGTAGCACTTTTTTTGCCCTTAAAAACACCTAACATATCATCCCAATTATTTCTATGGCTAGGTTCACGTCTGAGCGTTTTCTCCCCTAACAAGATTGAAGAAAATAGGTCACCAGCACTCCATAAGTTAAAATGAATGAGTCCTTTTAATGGACAATGATGTCACAGAAATCCAACATGAGCCGACGTTTCGGGGCCACACAGGGTCCACCCTAACAAAACGCCCCATCGCTGGAAAAAAGTTTGACAGACTAAGTGCTAAGGCTTTGACCCCATAGACTTCAATGGAAACGCAAAAAAAGGTGTATTTGCTGCATTTCTGCACGCATTTTACATCAATGTGTCACAAACGGTTCTCAAATATGCACAACCTAATGTATGCATAAAACACACACAAACGTGCAGCAAAAATGTGCTAGAAACAAGCAAAACCGCTGTCACCTAGGTGTGAATGCAGCCTAAGGGTACACTGCAGACTGCCCTGGAACAGTTAGTGGATTGTAAACGGAAGAAACCAGATACATTTGTGTTCTTTAGTTTTAGCAGAGGGAAGGGTAAAACCCCTATTAGGTTATTTTTGCGGGGAGAGGAAATCTCAGAATGAAGGCCATTCTTATCTTCGAAAGTTGGCACAAGAACATCTGCCTCCATTTTTACCTCTGGCAATCATGGTTCTTTTTTGGATTTCCTCAGAACTTTGTCAGGGGTGAATCTCCCAAGCAGGGAAACCTGCAGCAAAAACATAAATATCTTGCTTTTACATACACGGTAACCCTTTCACCATTAAGCAGCCAAGAGGGTCAGCTATGATGCTTAATAGGCATGTTTAACTGACTGTCCCCAAATTGTCCCATCATGGGAGATGATGTAGACACTACCATGGTCAACTTGTGGTCACGCTGAATTTATATGTATTTTGAAGTGTATTCACTACCATCTCTTCATTTTTTTAAACTGTAAACAAACCCAAATATGAAGTCATTTAGAAAATTACTGCAACACTACCGATCTCTAGCGCTAGAGTTGCAAAAAGGTATCAGAACCCAGACACTCGCTAAAGCAGCATAGGAACCCTGTTCACCAACGGATTGTCCAGACCAGTTTGTTCCTGGACCGGAAGCATCCCAATGTATCCCTATGGTATGTTTGGGCTCTTCACACCAGGGCCAGACAAAGAAAAAAAAATCCTGCTAGTCTCATTTTTCCTGGTCTGCAATGCACTGGGAAGCACCCAAAAGCCCATTTTAAGCTTTAAAAATAAAAAAATAGTCAAAAATGACTGTAAAAATGCACTGCGTTTGCAGATCTGCTCCAGACATGAGGTGAACAAAGCCTGAAACATATGTAAGCAACCTATGAGTGGATACTCCATATGGGAGGTCAGTGGATACATATTTTTAAAGTCTCCCAAGCAATGTCACATTCAGATCGCTGTGGTGGACCAGGTTATCAGCACTCATGGATCTGAATACCACTAGTCTACATTATAGAACATACACCATGCAGCTCTCTTGTAAATCCTCGGTGGTCCCTAGATACATTTTATGACTGGTAAGTGGCAGAGCTTTCACAAAATGTAAGGCGAGACCACCACCCTTTATGTGAAAAGACGGCCTTGTTCACTGCACATACATCTCTCCACAAAGATCACCAACAAATATTCCATTAGTGAAAACCAGTTGTCAATTTAGCCAAACATTTAAGGCGGCATATGGGCATTCTGATCCATCTAGAGCCCATTAAGACCATGCCAAACTAATGCATCACATTTCTATTGATGTTGTGAGAGTAAAGAGGGGTCGGGGGAGATTTGGTGCCTAAGGGCAACATCAGAAGGGCAATTTTGCACACAACTGTTACAAGACTTCAGGGCAGGTTAAAAAAAAAAAAAAAAAAAATTAAAAAACAAACAACCCTTGTAGTGTGGCTACCCCCACACTACAAGGGTAAAGTACTCGTTTTGGTGTAGGGTCTAAAAGAAAGATACACTCACATGATCCTCAGTCTTTTTTGGCTGACAGACCATCCCCCACAGCCTCTCTCCTGGGCTTCAGCAGTCTGGGATTTGATGGATGTCACGTGTCCTTTTTCATTTGCATTGGACTAAGGACACCAAGGGACATTCCAGAGCCAGAGCAAAGGGGAAGAGAGGCAAGTGGTCACCACCACAGACTGAGGATCAGGTGAGAATCTTTTCTTTTTGACCTTAGACCAAAAACAATCACCTAACGATGTGTCCTTAATTGGATACACAAAATACTATAGCAAGCATGGATGAACTATAGAGGTAGACTTACGATCTATGGCAGTGCTCAAAATTTCCACTCGCCTGCTCGCATTTGGCGAGTAAAAATAAAGTGAGGGTGAGTGGAAATTTGGGTCTCCAAGTACCGGTCCGCCCACAAGCCGGTACTATGTGGCCCGCAGCCAGCTGACATGCCTGTGTCACATCTGTGTCAGATGCAGAGCAGCTCCTGTCAGCTCTGGCGTCCTTCGGCCAGAGCTCTGACAGTTCTGAGCTCCGGCCGAAAGAAAGGATGGATCGATCCCTGGTTATCTGGAGGTGACTAGTGAGGTCTGCTGCAGACCTCACTAATCACCTCCAGATAACCAGGGATCGATCCTGCTCACAGCCTCCCTGCAAAGACGTGAACAGGTGAG